AAGACAGAGCTGGGCGGGGCCTGAGACACAGTCGGGCGGGGCCTGAGACAGGACTGGGTGGGGCCTGAGATAGAGCTGGGCGGGGCCTGAGACAGGACTGGGTGGGGCCTGAGATAGAGCTGGGCGGGGCCTGAGACAGGACTGGGTGGGGCCTGAGATAGAGCTGGGCGGGGCCTGAGACACAGTCAGGCGGGGCCTGAGACAGGACTGGGTGGGGCCTGAGATAGAGCTGGGCGGGGCCTGAGACACAGTCAGGCGGGGCCTGAGACAGGACTGGGTGGGGCCTGAGATAGAGCTGGGCGGGGCCTGAGACAGGGCTGGGCGGGGCCTGAGACACAGCCGGGCGGAGTCAGGGTCAGAGCTGGGCGGAGCCTGAGACACGGCTGGGCGGGGCCTGAGCGAGTCACAATACATGATCATCTCTGCATCTGATCTGAGTTTGAGGTGCTTTAATATGCATTTAGAATGAGAAACGCTGAACAACCAAAGACCAGCTTTAAAGCTCCAGCGATGTTCCGTCAAAATAAAAGTTTTGAAAATGAAGAAATTAAGACAGCCATGAATATTATAATGTCATTTTAGAGTTGTTTTGTAAAATTAAATGATAATTTTTATAGTATTTTAATTACTCATTTTTGTAAAATATATTACAATAGTAATTTTTCTTATTTAATTTTTTTATTTAATAATAATAATAAAATTATGAATAAAAATGTGTATTATTAAAATGATTATGTTTTAATAAAAAACACTTTCTAAATTAAAATAACAATGATTATTATTATTATTATTATTTTAAATATTAGATTTTTTTTACAGTGAAATATTTCAATAATATTTCTGTTTTTATTTGGTATTTTTATTTTTAATTAGTAGTAGTAGTAATATTATTATTATTATAATAACTATTATTATGTAAAATAAAAATTATTATATTATATTATTTTCTTAAGTACTCATTTTTTTACAGTGAAATATTAAAATAGTAATATTTCATATTTTGGTTTTATTTCATTTTTTAATTATTTAGTAATAATAATAGTTATCAATAAAAAATATTATTACAATTATTATTATATAAATAAAACAGAAAGTTTTTCAATTAATTTTGAATTTAATAAAATTTTTCCTCAATTGTTTAAATTTAAAAAGTATTATTATTATTAATGATTTATTAATATTATATTTTTCTTAAATACTTGTTTTGTTTTTACAGTGAAATATTACAGTCGTAGTATTTTTTTTATAAATTTTTTTGGTATTTTGTATTTATATTCAGTAGTAGTAAAAATTATTGTTATCATTAATATTATTTTATATCCATATTGATATATAATCACAAAATTTTGGTCAAATTATGCAGTCCTACAAACAAGCACAGCAAACCTGGAGCTTTTGGTTCAAATCATTTTGATCAGAAACGGTGCAGCCGTACCTTATCGGCACACATGGCCACAGTGATGTCCTGCTGCGAGATCTCAAAGTGGCGAATGTTTCGCACGTAGTTTCCCGCCAGCTTCAGTATATCTGCAGAGATGTACTCCAGCACCGCCACGATGTACACCGACACCTGATGATCGATCTTATAACCCAGAACCTCCTGCAGGAGAGACAGAGCGTCAGTGTGGCTTCATTCACTCACAATCACAGGGACGTCAGTGAAGCACACAGACTGAAGTCATGTTCATGAGCGCCCTCATCTGGACATACACGGTACTGCAGGAAAACCACAGCCATTATATTTGGACACTGACACAATTTCATCATTTTGGCTCTGTATGCCACCAGAACAGAATTAAAATAAAACAATCAAGATGAAATCTGAAAATATTGTTAAATCAAATAAATAAATTAAATTCTTACTATCCTTATTAAAAACTAAAAATAAAATAATGCATTATAAATTATGATATATTTAATACAAATGATGAATTCAATTATTACAGTTATTATTTTAAAATAAAAAACAATTATTACTAGTACTTCTATTGTTACTATAGCAATAATAATAATATTTGAAATTTAAAATAACATTATAAATTACAATATTATTAAATCAAATAAATAAGTTACTATTATTATTATTATTATTAATTAAATAAAATGACAATATTATTGTTAAATCAAATTATTTAAATTTTTACTATCCTTATTAAATACTAAAAATAAAATAATTCATTATAAATTATAATTATATATTTAATAAAAATGATTAATTGAATTATTACGATTATTATTTTAAAATTAAAAACAAATAACTAATCATAAAATACATTTATGAAATCAAATAAATTTATTACTATATTATTAATTAAAAATAAAACAATGCATTATAAATTATAATGATATTATTTACAAAAAAATTATTAATTCAATTATTACTATTATTATTTTAAAATTAAAAACAATTATAAAGCGGATAGTTCCGGTGCTTGATTCTGATTGGCTGAGCCGTGTTCGAAGCTGTTGTAAATGACTCTACAAAGTAACATACACCTTTGTTTACTTCTGTGTGTTGCTCGGCAACCACTTTGTAGCAACCACAACTGTTTCTGAGGAGCTACATTGTTTGGTGGAAGAATACTGTTTTTATTAATATCATTATACTTTATTTGCTCTGTTTTATTTTGTGAAACCTTACTACGTATATGGAATAACCGTTTTATAAAAGCAATAAGCCCCGTGAAGCCGTGGTTTACAGTGAATTTATAACAGCTAAGCTAACAACGCCCCTTAGCGGTTATAAATTCATTGTAAACCACGGGTTCACGGGGCTTATTGCTTTAATAACTAATTCTAGACCTGACTGCATAAATGCGGACACACTGATTGTGTGTGTGTGTGAGACACCTTGAGCAGCGGGTGGATCTTGTCGACAGGCAGCGCTAGCGGGTTCCTCCTCTTCCTCTTCTCGATCGCGGCCTGAGCGTCGGCGATGGCCCATTTCTCGATGGGGTGCGGGAAACTCCTCTGCACTCGCTCCTGAAGAACACAGCACACGTGAGGAACATAAACCACAGCAGATCACACGAGGATCAGAGACGGTCTTCAACACAACACAACCACAGACAGATGAAGATGAAGATGATGAAGATGAGACTCAGGGCTAGTGCTAGGCGATAAATCCATGACGCTGACGCCGGTCACCATAACAACGTTTTGTTGTGCGATACATCGCCCCAGAAATAATTGCGATAAGCGATTTTATTGTCATTTTATGCCACTGAATATATAATCATAATATAACTAATATATAAATACACACATGCATGTATATATTTCAGAAAAATGTTGTTTATATATATATATATTTAAAAAAAAAATATATATATATATAATATAAATTATATAGACATGTAAATATTATACAGTACAATACAATAATATACAGCGGCGTCTGTGAGCTCAAGCAAACACAGCAGCAGTTAGTCGACATCAACAGCTCAAACTGCTGAGAGACACATTCAGATCAGTCACACAATTTAAGATGCGTCCAGTCCCATGATGCTCAGCGTCACGTCAGGACTCAATATGACCGTGTTTCTCTGATTCCTCAAATGTTTCTCTTGACAGTACAATACTCATCAGATCTCAGCTCACATTTCACCCTAAAGCCAGACAACAAATTTATTTGATCAAAAATACAGTAAAAATTGTGAAATATTATTGTTATCAATGTTGAACACAGTTTTAAGACAAAAAAATTTAAGAAAGTAATACTTTTATTGATCAGGGACGCATTAGATTGATCAAAAGTGACAGCAACAACATTTATAATGTTAGAAAAGATTTCTATTTCAAATAAACGCTGTTCTTTTGAACTTTCTAAGTATTTTTGATTAAATAAATGCAGCCTTGGTGAGCAGAAGAAACTTCTTTGAGACACACTAAAAAATCTGAATTATAATCGGCATGTGTGATTTCATGATATCAGGGTTTTTTATTGTAAATGTGTGTTTCACTGAGCTGCTGTCAGATGACTGTGGCACTAATCGAGCAGAAACTGCAGCGGTGTATGATGAGCCTGAGCGTGTGTGTGTGTGTGTGTGACACGGTTAACGAGTGGGTTAACGAGGTTCACCTCCACGTCCTGCACGGTGCGCGGCTGAGCCTGACACAGAGTGTTGAGCAGCACCAGGATCAGGCCCTCGATGTACTGCAGCGCCTCCTGCTGCGACGACAGCTTCGGGTGCACCTGACTCAGCACCTGCAGCACACACACACACACACACACACCACACACACATCAGCACAGCACAGAACCATGAGAGAGAAAATACCTTCAAAATAAGAAAAGAAAGAACTTACTAAAAATTAAATCATTAAAATATAATAAACCATTGTAAAATAAAAAACAAAGCAGCTAGTAAAAATTAAATCATAAAAATGGAAAATTAAAATAAATAAATATGTATTAAATCAAAATAAAACACTTACTAAAAAAGAAATAAATAATAAAAATGTAAAAATAAAATAAATTATTTTAAAATACAAACACAATCAAAATAAAGCACTTACCAAGTTTGTCATAAAAAAAAAAAAAAATTGTAAAAAAAAAAATATCACAATAAAACACTCAAGTTTATTAAATGATAAATATATAAAATTTAAATAAATTAAAATGAGCAACATCCAAGCAACACAAACACCAACACACAACAAAATTACAAAAACTTTAACTAAAATGGAAAAAAAACAAAAAAAAATTAAAACAAAAATTAATTTAAAATATTTATAGAAACTATAGACACCAAGACAAAAAAAAAATCTAATAAAAAAAGGACAAAAAAAACGCACAAGTACTAAAACTTAGTACTGAGAGAGAGAGAGTGTGTGTGTGTGTGAGAGAGAGAGAGTGTGTGTGTGTGGGTGTGTGTGTGTGTGTGTGTGTGTGTGTGTGTGTGTGAGAGAGAGTGAGAGAGAGAGAGAGAGAGAGAGTTCCTTCAGCTCCCACAATGAGATATTTTTACAAACGCAGTCTAATCCAGCATCTGAGCGATTGTGGGTTTTCTAGCGAAACGTGCCTGAGGACATCTTCCTGTTGAGACATCGCTCAAACACGACACACTCAGTTCCTCCTGTGAGTCTCGGTGTGTGTTCATCAGTGTGACGTCTGTGCTAATCCACAACAGCACAGCAGAGTGACGGACAGCTGTCAATCACTCTGGTCAGAGGACTGCAGGAGCAGCAGCGACCACACACACACACACTCACACACTCACACACACACACACACACACACAGTCCTGACCCTGGATTCATTAGAGCAGAGGGTCGTTGTGTGTGACAGCCGGGGGCAGACGAGACCCCTCACACACACACACACAAGCACTCTTCACTGGCACACACACACACACACACACTCAGATTCATCTAGAGCAGGAAAAACTAACACTTCATCACAAAAATAACAAATTAAATTAAGTGAAATATAAAAACCAATCAAAACTAAACTAACTCTAAAAATGTTAATAAATAATTGCAAGATAAAAAAATCGAAATAAAACACTTATTAAAAGTTAAATAAATCATAAATATGTCAAATTAAAATTAGTAAATAACTGCAAAAAAATATCAAAACAAAGCACTTACTAAAAATTTAATCATACAAATGTAAATTGCAAAATGAAAAAATCTTAATAAAACACAATTTTACAAATGTAAAATTAAAACAAGTAAATAATTTCAAAGCTAATAATCACAAACATTTAAAATTTAAATAAATACATAATTTAAAAAAATCTAACTAATCAAAATAAGACTTAAATCATAAATGTAAAAAAAAAGTAAAATAAAAAATGAAATGTGTAAATAATTGCAAAAAATCTAAATAAAGCATTAACTACAATTTACATCATACCATAGTAAAATTAAAATAAATAATTTAAAATAAAAACTCTAAATTAAACATTTAAGTGAATTAAATCATACAAATAAAAAAGTCAAAACATAAATAAAAAATAATATACTTGCTAAAAGTTAATTTAATCATAAATTGATATAAGCCATTTTTAAATTAAAATAAAGCTCTTACTACAATTATTGAAATAAAAATGTACAATTAAAATAAATAACTTTAAAATAAAAAACTAAATTAATTAAAAGTTAAACAAATAATAAATGTCCAATTTAAAAATATATATATAAATTAAATAAAAAATTGCTTACTAAAAAAGATGAAATATTTTATCTGTTTACCTGCAAGTCATGTGATCATGAATCAAAGAAACATAACTATGTTAATGTGTTGTAAAATTACTGAAATTTTAAATCAAATTCTCAGAGACTTCAAGACAATATCTGAGCTCAAAGGAGTTCAGCTGCAGATGCAGAACTCCGGTTATTCTGCATTTATGATGGACAATATTAGCTATATCTACAGCCAAACCAAAGTTTATTCAACATTTCTCACATTATCATGGTTTATTCTCTATAGTTTAGAAAATGGTAATAAAATATGAGAAGAACTCAGAGTTAAACTGATTTCTGAAGGATCATGTGTAGGGGTCGAAGCTGAAGATGCAATAAATCACAATCCACTACACTGAAGTTGTTAAACACCTCAATATTATCTATTTATGATTTATGAAAACACGGACGAAATCACGGAATCCAGCCATACAAATGGAATGTACTGTATAACGTGGAATGTCACGGAATTTGTCAAAGTTTGGATGAATTAATGTAAAGTAGGTCAGCACACTTAAATCAAACTGCGATATGGACTAGTATCTGTAAATATTAAGCTGCAAAAATACTATTTAAATATGAATCCTGCATGTTCTGCACGTCTCTGTGAGTGGCACAGACGCGCGGTGTTGCCAACTGAGTTTCAGAGAAAGTTGCTAAAGGAAGGTCGATTTGTTGCTAAATCGTCATTGTTGACGTCATTGCGTAATCACAACGCAAAATTGTGTCACATCAAATATCAACAAAAAATATATTTTATATATGCTAATTTTAGGGATGCACGATATTATCGGACTGATATCGGAATCGGCCGATAATGGCTTTACATGTAAATATCGGCATCGGCCGACATAAAAATTATAAAATTATTATTATTTACATAAAAATTATGCCAGAAGCTATAGCTTACATGAAAAAAAAAAAAAAAAAACACAAACATGACCCTTGTAAATTAAATAATTTTTT